CCTAAATCTCTCTCTCCGTTTGCCTCATCCAATTTAACATCGCCGAACGTGTCGAGAGACCTACCGTTGTTTCGACCGACGTGGAGAACTTTACACTTACTTTTATTAAACCTCATGAGCCATTTCTTGCTCCACTCGTCCAAAAGCCTTAAATCTCGCTCGGCTCTAGCCCTATCCGCCTCCCCCCTTATGGTAAAACCTATCTTGGTGATATAGTGACTTATGGGACACCCTGTACAATAGATACAAAAATGAACAGGCCAATAACAGTATTCTTGTTTTAAAGAAAAAAAAAAGGCTCACTAAAAGCAAACATGAGGGATTTCTTGATGAATTTCAGGGAAATGACCTAAAAATATATGTGGTTTGAAGAAAGTTAAATCAGACAACACATTAAAAAGGTTGACCACCACAAGCCACACCTGTGCACCTCACTGAATGGGAAAATCAATAGGCCAGCATTGCCATGCCAGTCAATGTGTTAAGGTCATTTTGCAGTCCAAAAATTACCTTCAAGGTAGGTGTCAGAGCAAAGAAATGCTCCATCACATTAGCAACACTTATTGATGATTTGATCAACATGAGATGAGAAGTGATTATCATGGGATGGAACATGAATAAAAAGGTTCATAATGATGAATTAGTTGATACTTCCTTCTACCACACACTTTGAAGGAGGCACCTCTACAAGGACTCTGAATATAAGTTATACAGGATGTTTCAAAAGTTGCACAACCCTATATACAGCATTTTTTTGAGGAACTTGAATTGAGTATAGAGTAAATTGAACTATGAATTTCTGAATATGTTGATAAGGTTCAGCATTTGCAGTTTATGTGAAAAATAAGGGACCCACAATACCTAATGCAATAGCTGATGTGTATGCATTCCAGTTAAATATATAACAACACTTGCTTATATGAAGGGCTGAAAGACAAAATGATCTATCTGCAAAAAATTTCTGAAAAAGCATTGTTCGTTTTGTGCTCATGGAACCTTATTCCTTTCATAGAAAATTATAGTTTTTTGGAATTAAGTAAAGGTTGAAGTGATCTATTGATACATACCACTTTTTCTCACTTTTAATATGATGGTTAGTGGCATATTCACTCATTCTGTGTGGAGCTTCAGGAAAGAATTTTTTGCAGATAGACCTCTTTACCTTTCAGCCCTTCATATATAGGAACTTTTGAAACACCCTGTAATTTTTTTAACATAATAATCAGAAGATCATGAAGACTTACATGGTCATCTGCATTGATGAGGTCCACATTTCCAATGAGAACTTTGAGATTGGGGAATTCCTCAGCCCAGGTTTCACCTTGGCTTTCACTCACCTCAAAATGCTCCAAAATTTGGGTATGACAACTGATGTTGCCAATTCGTTTCACAAGTGGACTTCGACTAATCACCAAAACAGGTTTGTCAGGACAGACTGCCTGGAGCTACATTACATGGCAAAAACAAAACTGTTCTTATTTTTCTGTTCTACACAGTTTACACATTTCCATTTATAATTATCTCTGATATGAATGGGTTTTATGTTGGAGGATGTTGGAGTTGGAAAATACCTGTTGAGCACAGGTGACACCAGAGATTCCTCCCCCAATGATAACAAAAGGTGCTTCAATCACCATCTCTACCAATGGAGTCAAGTACACATGTGGGAATGCTAGGCATATTCTGCAAAGACAGAGATGCTGATATACCCTGTACATCAATATATAAAAACCATTGCTGGGGAGTAATAGAATACAGACTAAGTGTTACCAAATCTTCATTACAAAATTGAGTTTAATACTTTTAATTTGTACTTTTTAGCTGGTGGCAAAATCTGAATTGAAGACAGGGTTTCATCTACATATTCACTAACATTTTCCTGATAGAGTAACTGCATTCACTTAAAACACAATACTTTCATTCCATCAAGTGCTTCAGTTTGAAAGGACTTCTCAGCATGAAGCTGGTTCACCTCTTCATAGAGGAGTTAAATCTTAACTGTCTCACAAATAATCTTGAAAAGTAATTATACTTGAAATTCAACAAAGCCTTAGCTAATACATTTGTTCATCACAATTTATCCATGAAAATTATTGTTATGTTCTCAATTACATTCAAGTAGAAGTAATGAGTATTTGCAGCAATATATGTTTTTCAAAGGTAACTCCTCCAATGTTGGCAAAAAACTTGATCTTCACAGAATAGTAAAAACTCAGTGGAGGATTTGTCAACTTCAAGGCATGTATTGAGGCAATTGAGCATATGTTGCTCAAACTTGACCATGTGTCAAATCCTCCTAATAATAATTCATCCAAAGCCTTTACAGTTACACCAATGTTTCTTAATATTCCCAAATCAAGGTTTTATTCCATAAATACCCAAATAGGGTTTTGAGTGGTTTTACAAATAGGAAAATGCAGGGACAATCAGCTCTAGGACACCTCTTTCATTTGCTTTGCAATTTCAAGACAATAGCATCGCATGGGACATAAGATGTAACCTCAAAGCTAATACAGAAGCAGCAAATAAGAAAGATCAGAGGTCCACAAAATGGTGGAATTCAATCAACATGTTCATGCTGAGCTTGAGCTTCCCTCCAAGTACTGCACAGGGACTCAACAAGGGACATGAAGTACCCAGACCGCACAACAACCAAAAGGGATACAAGGAATAATGTCACCCAACTCAGGATGAGGAACATGTCTTGTTCCTCTGTCACTTGGTGTGGAATAGGACCCACAAAATCCTCAACAGTCACATTTAAGAATGAATTATTAACTGCCGACACATTTGTCCAATGCTGAACAAACTCAAACAACTGTCGTAGAGAATACTCAGATGCATTGTACTTTGCAGCTCCACGGCCATTGTGAAGGAGGAGAAGAACTGGAATGGCTGAGATGCCAAAGCGGGAAGAGGAGGTTGGATTTTCATAAACCTCAACTCCATATACAGGCATGCTGGGATAGGCCCTGGGCAAGGCATTGATGTATGGTGCAGCAGCAGCTGAAAATGGACATGACTTGCCATAAAAAAATGCCAAAGAACAGTTGGCTGCTTGTGTGAATAAGGTCACATTCAGCCTTGGGGCAACATAGGTCAGTAGAGTTGTCATGTTGACCAATTCCACAGAATGTGGGGTGTCAGTCTCAAATGTATTCACTTGCTCGAGATTGGAACAATTCACTTTGACTTTTCCTGCCTCCTCTTGGGAAATCACAAGAGAGAAAGCTGAGAAGAGCATTAATGCTCCACATGCATTAAATTCTGACATTGCTGGCTACCTGAAGTGCTGTATATCTATGCTGGCTAATTCATTCATTCTCCATCCAATGACTAATCCCTCATGAATGGAGCTCTTTCAATGCCCTGAAAAGAGGGAGCAAAAACTGTCTGTATCACTTGACAAAATCTCCTTCATTGGCTCAGTCTCGAGAAGGGATCTAATACGCTGGGTGCCACATTAGAAAACCCTTTCAAAAGTTCCCACACATTCATAAGAAAATCCCAGGAAAAGCAAAAAATCTGAAGCAGAAGAAACATAAGTTTTTTAATCACAATGACAGAAGAGCTCAAAACCCTCCAATTAATTTCCTTGAATTCTAATGAGATCATTTCATAGTGCATCCCATCAAATCAAGATAGACAGACCCCTCAAGGCAAGTGCCTTTGGAGCACTGCTCTGGGCCAGAGTGAGTGTATGCGTGTGCAAATGCTCCTCAAAAATCAGCAGCCACCAGAGTGAAAACCGCTTGCCATTGTTGATAAAATCCACAAAGGAGATAATTTTGATATAAAACCATGTATTCAAGGTTTCCAAAAAATACAATGCAGTATAAAAACAGACATGAACAAAGAGGGCACATTAAATTTCTGTCAGGACGGAATGGTTTAATATATTTCTTACCCTACAGGCAAAAGTTCAAAATTAAAAAATATGTATGGCTACAACAAAACATCATGCACTCTGGTGAAATGGAGATTCAAGTCGAACACACACTCTAAAACAAAAGAGACTACTGCGGTTGATATGATGATAGAATTTAGCCTGCTGCAAATGCAGGGAAACATGAGAATGATGTTGACTCCTTGAAAAAAACTTAAGAATGAGATTTCAGTCTCTGAAGGTTTCCCATCTTACTTCCTCTTTGGATTGGATTTCAGAATAGAAAAAAAAAACACTAACACAATAGCTAGAGGTGCAACCAGGACTTTCAATCCTTATTTGCACTGGAAGGTTTGGGCCCCAAAAATTCAATAAATGGTAGTGAAAAAAATTATGGCTTGTACCACTGCAAGTAGACACTTCCCTAATGAAAACATATTGTAACTAATGTATAGCACTTACTGGTCTAATCTTGGTTAGATATTTTTGCAATCAAGTTTTTAAAAACATACAAATATAGGGGACAAATAGAATGGGAGAGTTAATTATGACTAGGGAACAGATTTTTATGCAATGGCATGTTTTTTCTGCAAAATCACTGGGGAAACAACCCAGATGGGACATTACTTATACAGAAAGTGATTGGTTCCATTTTAAAAATGACAAATTAATGTTTTCATGTTCTGATGCAAGTCTGCATATTTCAGCACTAATTAAAGCATAACAATCTACTCCCTGCTTTGCACAAATTATCAAAAGGAAATGAGTATCATGGGCCTGTTACTATCAATGAAGGAAGCTTGATGTTGTCCTGCAAGGGTATTCTTTGCATGAGCAGGCTATGCCAACTATACCATGGGGAAGAGGAATTCAGGTAATAACAGCAGACAAGCACAACTCTCACACACTGCATACCGGGAATGATCCTGGCTAAGCTGCCTGGATTGGCAATGGGAATGTGATAAATGACTTGACCGGGGATAGAGATCAGGGCGGACTTTTGTATATGGATTCAGGAATACAAAAGGAGAGGAACTTTCAACCAATGCTTCACATGATGTCAGTTGATAGGGAGACATTATGAACCTGGTGGCCATTTGTTGAGGTGGAACCGCGGGGAGTTGTTGGGCGAGACCCACCCACTGACCCCAAGGAAATGGACTGATTTGTGGCATATGATGTATTAAGAGAACTCCCTGTGATCATCTGAAAGAAAAACCAACAAGAGAGATAAGTATCCAACAAAGATAAATGTCAAAATGTGGTCTCTTGCAAAGGAAATTCAATTGGCTGATTTCACTATTACAGGTCAAACAATCTCAGGCTGCACAATTCTGAGGATAGTTTTTAAAACTCAGCTAAACACACAGCTTGATCAGTCACATGTTTGGTCCAGATAGCTGGGGTGAATGCAGCTTAGCAAATGCTTAGGAGCCAATCATCATTGCACTGGCATGGGCTATGATGTTCTTGCCAGTATGGATTTTGATACAGTAAAACCTGCCTAAAAAATGACTAGAATAAGATGGAAATTGCCCAATTCTACATATCTCTGCAGCAATGAATTTCTGTTGTAAGAAGGTTTTACTTTTCTTGCTTTGAGGTCAGAAATCAGGAAATTTTCCTGACTAGAGAAACCATATACACTACCCTCCAAAAAGTATCAGGATACGTGTCAGTTTCACATTGACGTCACTGCCAACCGCCTCAATAGCGTATCTGTCCCCCTTTGGCTGCTATGACACACTCCACCCTCTTGGGTAGGCTTTCCACCAACGAACAATACACTGCAGCTGGTATAGTCCACCATTCCTCCAGCAGAACAGTGACTAGTTCAGCTACTGATGTAGGATGTGTTGGTCTGGCCCTCAACCGACATTCCAGTTCATCCCATAGGTGTTCAATAGGGTTCAAATCAGGACTCTGCACTGGCCATTCCAACTTTTGTACATTCAAGTCCATGGACCATTGTGCAAAAACACCTGCAGTATGGTATGGGGCATTATCCTGCTGAAACAAGCATGGGTCTGTACCAAAGTTCTGCCACATTGTAAGGAGCATGGAATTGTCCAAATCTTCAGCGTTCATGGTTCCAGGCAAAACCACCAAAGGTCCTAGGCCATACCATGAGAAAAACTCAACACCATAACACCACCTCCTCTGAACTTCATTGTAGGCAGAATGCACTCTGGCATCAGATGTTCTCCAGGCATCCACCACACCCACACCCACCCATCTGATCGGAAAAGGGTGCAGTGAGATTCATCACTCCATAGAACCAATTTCTACTGCTCTACGGACCAATTATGGTGTTCTTTGCACCATGCAAGGCGAGACTGCTGATTGCGTTTGGTGATGTTTGGCTTATGCACTGCTGCTATCCAATGAAAGCTGAGGCTGTGGAGCTCGGTACGTAGGGTGCTCGTACAGACCTCAACCCCTGTTGACGCCTTAAACTCCTGGTTGGTGTTTTGCAGGGATGTGTGGCGAGATTTATGTGCCACCCTTCTGAGTACCCTCCGGTCACATGGGGTGAGCTTCCATGCTGGATGGGGGTGGTACTGTCACACTTCCATTTCATGATAACATCACCAAGGGTTGACTTTGGATGGAGCAGGCTATCTGCAATTGCATGAATCGACAGGTAAGTGATGTGACATCCAACAATAACACCCCTCTTGGAATCAGTCAGCTCGTCTCCATGTGCCATGACAAGAACCACTAAATTGTGGGGGTCATACACCTTCCTTATATACTGGTCCGAGTCACGTGTTTCAACAGGAAAGTGCATTGGACTATGAAAACAGGGGTGTCTGGATACTTTTTGGAGGGTAGTGTATAGTCTACTCGTAATCATATTTTACAATTCTTGGATATGGAACCTCCCTGACCCTTTTATTATGGGTAGCCATAAGGTACTTAACAGGACTTTTCATTCAGGTGCCAACAGCAAAGGGACAATCTACAGGGTTGCTAGATTCTATATGAAGTGCAAGCCATTTACAGAGAGCTTATTTTCAAGTGGTCAGACAAAGATAATGTATAATACACATAATATTCTCTGACAACCCTACCCATTTTTACAATCCTACCAAAAATGGTAAGGAGCTTACTGGCCTCCTTTATTAGGAGGCATGTGAGAATATTGTTTGGGCATAGACTGTACACCATGAAACAACAAGAGAGAGTTGATTGTCATATTTAAGGAGAAGAAAGGAAACTGAAATATGAGAATTTACTTCCAAACCAACATTTTTCTCCAATAAAATGCTAACTGGTACTTGTGATTAGATACTAGCAAATAGGGTAAACCTTGAGTTTGGCCAGATCCTCCAGCCGTGTCAGATCGCAGAGCTCCATGTACAGGGAATAGACCACCAGCCAGCCATACGCATTGAGGACAATGAAGATAAGCCACAGCCAGAGCATGGCCTGGTGATACCCGAACACTAGGTCATTCACCAATGAGGCAAAAACCAGAGCAAACACTCGCCAACCCGTGAAAAGCAACATGCACCAAAGCCAAGGACGGATCCTTTGTTCCAATTCCTGGAGAATAAGACAACATGATACTGGTCAAAGCTTGTATCAATGCATAGAAAGGATGATGAAGTTCTCTTACCTTGCGTAGTGCTATCATGAGAATGGTACTAGTGACCAAGAGGCACATCCCACCAAGAGCAGAAAACAGGGCAAAAGTGATCAAGCAATTCCGAACTAGGATAGAATATGGATGTCTTCAGGATATATGTCAAGAAAGCTCCCAAAAAATTGGACACCAAACTCACCATGGATATTACCAGCATACACAAAGTCATAGCTGATGACATAGTAACCATAGTGCGATGAGCCAGGTTCAGCCATGACCAATGTGTATATGTCAAAAACTGAGGTTGAGATGGTGAACAAGCTCAAAAACTGCTCAAAAGAAGTGCCATCATTCAATTAGCTCAACAATAATATCACTGAGTCTACAACACCTTTTTTAAGAAAAAAAAAAGTCCACTCACAATGGAATACATGCCAGTGATCCAGCTTCCATTTTGAAGATCAGTAACAAGAGCGTTCTCCAAGATGGGACGCCTGAATTTCTCAAATTTGGATGACTTAGTGGTGCGGGTGCTGTGTGAGGAGTACAGGGATCGCATGGACTGAGTCCCTATCATGGATAGGGACTGCATGTGTGACTGACTTGATCCTCCTTGTGGCATTCTTTTAGTCTCTTCCAATATTTATGCTAGTCCTCCCTACTAATGAATACATGCACACCAATAAAAAATTATTCAAAACTTATAATCAAGCACCTCAAGGAATTCACAATGAAATATCAGGAACTAAAGCCATCACAACCATAAAACAGTAAACAGTCCTTGGTCCCTAGTTCCTGGCAAGAATTGCCTCAAATCACCAAATCAGAAAGAACTCATCTCAACAGTATTAGTAAAGCATGCATTCACATTATAAAAAGACATGACAGAAGTCATGGCTTCATTGGATTGTAGGAAAATATATTAATTATATTTAGACTAGGCAACAACATAACAACAGGGAGCAAAGACATTCACTGAGGGCAATGGGCCACTGCCACTGCAGCCAAAATATAGAGCAGATCAATCAAATGCTTTTAGTGATCATTTGTAATAAGGAGTTTGCTAAATCCAATCAATTCTGCTTCAACCAGCATCGTGCTGTACATGAGAGTCCCATGTCAAAGCAGTTCTCAAAACAAGGAGCTATATAATACAGCTCACATAGAAGAACCATTCAACAGAGGATTCAGAAGTTCAGATTATATACTAAGACTGGGTTCAAGTGGATTGCATCAGAAAATACATCCCCCCTGCTATTGTATTAACTGCATAACCTCTGATGAAAGAGATGGGGTTTTCCTTGATAAGGATATAACCTTTAAACTTCTTTATTTTCCTTTTGTAGAATGCCAAGTTCCAAGGGTACCACACAAAAGACTCATCGGAGAACTGACACCATCTTCTACCTTCCTTCTTACAAACTGTCAATGCAGTCTCACACAAGAAGAATGCGGAAATTTCACTGACACTGCATCATACAATGTTTAATGGTTAAAAAGATATTATCAGCCCAGGTCCATGGCAATCTCAGAGCCAGAGGGAGCCATGTTGGCTGAATCTCTCTGAGTTGACTCATACAGCACCTGCAGATCTGCACAAGATCGAATTGTGTTCAAGAATTCATTCAGCTGCAGATTCTTGTCAGCATCTGGAATGGATTGGAGTGCAGCAACACATCGCATGGCTGAGCGCTTCAGCTCATCCAGCTTCTCCGATTCCTGCTTTACTGAATTTGCCTTAACCTGACGTGTGCAAGTAGATCTGAGAGGCTCTACCAGGCGATCCAGACGCTGGAGAACAGCCATTGGACACAGGTGTGATAGACGCACTAGCATCAGGTATGTGAGCATCTTGATATCATAGTGATCTTTTAGCCCACTTTCAACATGATTGAGGAATTCAAAAACATCTACACGATCCAAACATGAATCTAGGAGGGTGTACATGCATTCAAATGCTGCTTTCCGTAGGTCTAGCCCATCATCAACAGTGTGCTTGAATGGACCCATCTCAACCTCTCGGATGAATTCCTTTCGAACTACTGTTTCTTTGTACAGCAGGGGTAGGACACTGTCCAAAAGGTCTCGGATGAGAGATGGCTTGTTGTGAGCAGCAGAATTGAAGGTAATGAGTGCCACACGTCTCACACCTATATCTGGGTCTTCTAGGGTAGCAAGAAAGTCTCCAATGCAGCGACGAAGCAAAGTATCCACTGCCTGTGGCTGGTCAGATATGGTGAATTTTATCGCAGTGACAACAGTGCTTCTCATCAATGGGCTTTCAGAAGAAAGGTGCTCTTTCAACTTTGGCAAAAGAAGGTGAGGATCAATCAATGTCAGCTTTCCCAGGCATTCAGCAACAACATTCCTGGTCCCCTCTTCACTACACTCACAATTTTCAAACAGGAGATCCCAGATTGAGGAAACATATGGCTGCAGGTGTTCAACTGCACCAGGACTGGCACTCTGTGTGCTAATGATTTCTTTTAATGAATGCAGTAGAAGATATTGCTTCCTAGGCTGGGTCTGAATCTCATTAAGGACAAAGGGAAGATAATGACACAAGTTTCCAACAGCGACATTTCCCAGAGCATATGAAGCTGCTGTCTTAACTTCTTCAGATGGGGAACCAAAACTCTCCATAATCACTGAATTGAGTGATGTAACTGCACTTAGGTCAGTGTTCTTCCCTATTTCTCCTATTGCCAGCAATGAAAAAAGCTGCATGGGATCTGACTGTGGCTTCTGAACATCTTGGAGAAGCTTCTTCACCACATTCAGTGTTTCATTTGGCTTTGATGTGGCCAGAGCAGCAACACACTTAGCAATTGAATGATAAGCTTGCTTGTGCAGGTGTGATGCACTCTGACTCTTCCCTATGCAGCTTCCCAAGGCAGTCAAGAGATCATGATAAGTCATGCCAGGCAAATTTGCAGCCACTAAGGCTTGAAGGAAGTGCTGCAGTGCAGCTAATGCTGCACCTTGAAGAAGAGGTGAAAGGAGCAAGTTCATGACTTGAAGCATGATGGCTTTCCCAACAGTTGCCAAGACTCCTGGGAATTTTTTTGTTATGGTGGTGAGAAGCATGAAGGTCAGCTGAGTCATATGAAGGTCGCTGTCATTGATCAATGGTGGGACTTCATCTAGCACCTTCTGCAAGAGCTCAGGAGAAATACTAGAATTATAATTCTTGACAAGAGTATCAAGGAGAGTGAGGGTGCTAAGTCGCAGTGCCCGCTGGTTTTTACGCAAAAAGGAACCCAAGATTGGCATGGTGTCCCCAAGAATCAGCTTCAAGTCAATTTTGAGAGGAGATGCAGCTATGCCAGTTAGGGCCTTAACGGTGGTGAGACGAGTTATCTCATTTCTCAGCCGATCTAGGAAGATGGGGAGGCAGATGAACAACTCATTGTTGAGATGGTCTCCAAGATTAGCAATGATGACACCCATGCAGGAGATGGCTCGCTCCTTCACTTCTTGATCAATGTCAGCTGCTTTGAGACGCAGCAACGTGCAAGAATATAGAGGCTGGATGTAACTTACAAACTCCATCCTACCCTCTTCATCAAGTGGTCGGATAATACGTACCAACTGTTGAATGACCATCAAAGCTTCAGATGTGATTTTGTAAAACGGATCCTTAACTGCTGACACAAGGGGACCCAGAAGGGCAGGTATGTGAGCATGAAACACTTGAGGTGGATGAGTACTCATGAGAATATGAAGAAATGAGAGTGTATCAATTTTCATGTTGCTGCTGGATGTCTTGTCCCCAAGGGAGAACTGAATCCCAGGAACCAGAACATGAATGTGATTTGTCAAGGCTCCTGGAAGTACAGAGACTAATTCAGAAAGCAGTGCATATGCTCCCTGCCGGGTTCGTACACTCTTTTCTTTCAATGTCTTGTGAAGAGCTTTGACAACCTGAGGGATCTGCTGTGATAGTCGAGCAATGGGGGCTTCTGAATCTTCCATTCCCTCTTCTAACATGGGAGATCCACCATGATGCCTTGTCTGCTTCAACATAGCCATGTATGCAGCAAAGATATCAGACTTGACATTTTCCTCCCTCTCTTTGAAACGGGATATGAGGAGGGCTGAAATGGACTTATAGAAATAGGACAGCATATCAGGTCGAGTTGATGTCAAGGCCTCAAGGCATTTTGCTGCTGCACGTCTGACCTTCCAGCTCATATCATCATCATCTGAATATTCCTCCTCAGATTCCTCTCCATCAGGAATGTCCATAGATTCCCCGCCATTTTCTCCATCCTCTACCTCCTCATCTTCATAATTATAGTTGGGATCATAACAAAGTGCAACTTTGCAAATATTGACAATGTTTTCAATGTGATCTGCAATTTCTTTAGGACAGCGCCTGATGAATGACTCAAATGCCTGGATGCAGTACTCCCGCAGTTCATCGTCATCTTGTCCAGTGCTGCAGTACTTCATGACAAGAGGCATAGCACGCTCCAAGTACTCACCAAACCGATGCCCAGAGTGTCTACAGACAGCTCCAAGGCACTGGATGTGAGTCCTAGTGGTGGAACTTGCCTGACTCTTACCAAGCTCCTCAAACAAGTGGTCCAATAACTTGTTGTAAATTGCTGCATTGCACGATATCACCAAGTGGCCTATACAAATTATGGACCTTTTGCGGACTGCCAAACGAGGTGATGCCAAGAGTGGGAGGAGGGCACTAAGAATATCTGCATGAAAGGAGATCAAAAGCCCCCCAAAACGTGATAGCAGGTCACCCAGTATATCCAAGGCCTCCAACTGAACTGAGACATCGCCTTGATTGATGGCTGAGACCAATTTCTTGGTGATGCGCTTGCAGACAGAATTTGCAATGGTGACTGAAGAAGGAGGCAGCTCACAGATGACTGTCTTGAGGCCAATGGAAGAGATGTCTCTCAATTGCTCCTTGTCAGAGACCATGTTTGAGCAAAGGCTATCCACAATTGTCTCCACTTGAAGCTCCTTTACTTTGTTCACCAGAGGTCCAAGACATTTGACAGCCAGATTCTGTACTTCTCCATTCTTGTCCTCCAGGAGCCGTAGGAGCATCTTCACCACCTTTCGCTCAGAATCATCATCCAACTTAATTGAATCTTTTTGGAGCTCACTCATGAGGTCATTGGTAGCCATGAAGCGAAAGTCCTTGTCACTGGAGGTCATCTTCTCCAGGAGGTTTGCAATGTGCCAAGTTCCAGTCCCCATTTTGGTCACCTTTATTCTAAAGGTCTAGGGTACCTGCAGCAATGTGACAAAGGTCTCTTCTTAGTTTTACAAAAACCTGTTCATGATAAATAAATTCAAAATCATGAGCAACTTTCAAGTGGTCATTCCTTTCTTCCTATTTATTTTTAAAGAAAACTATCTTATTTATGATTAAGGCCCAACATCAGCCTGTCCCAGATGGGTCTAGTCTAGCCTGTACCTTGAGTCATCTTTAACTGGATTCCTGGCCCTTATGTTTGCATGCTTCTCACTCTTTTTTATGGTCTAGGGGTGCTTTATGAAAAGATACTTGAACCTTTAAGTTCTTCACTCATCCTGAAGGCAGGCACATACAACTAACAATTCTATCTGATAGATCTGTCCATGGCATCAACTAACGTTTACAAAATTTGTATTGGAATATTAATATCCACAAAATTTGTGCTCAACCTCTATTATAACAACATCAAAGTATACACCAAGCAGTACACAATTTCATGAAAGAAAGAGGAAGACCATGTAATAAATTCTCATGTTTTTCCCAGATATAGTGGGTCAGTGATGCTGAGTCAGTCAAATCAGATGACTTCTAAGGGCATCTTTCCTTGTTTGAAAGCTTGCCATAATATTTACTGTCTACAGATGGTACTTTAAAGCCTATCTCCAAAAAAGTTTGACAAAAATCAAGGAATAGTGATTTTTGACCTACCCATACTTGGAAAAATAGACACATTTGTCTCATTCATGGAGGTAACAAACTCCTGACTCATTGACCTAGTAACTAGCAAAATTACTTTGTGTGCATGATAACTATATTCCAATCAAAGTCCATGCAGGATTAAACATCTGTTTAATCCTGCATGTAAAAATGGTGTTCATGTATGGGCATGATATAGGTAAACTTTGTACTGAAAGTTGGAAGTATTTTCTACTCTTGCACCTGAGCAATTCTAAAATATTCCCAACTCCTTCGAATCCATGGTGATTTGAAAGGCATACTTTACATATCCACTAAAAAGATTGGCACATACTTTCATAACTTGGATACTTGTCCTCCTTTGTCTTGTTTTGAATTCTTCTCAAATGAGTAACAAGGATGATACCTACATGACACCAACGGCATATATGTCAGATATAAACGCAGAAACGAAGTGATTACTAGGGCTCTCACAAAAGAATGGGATTGGTGAAAGAGATTCCAGGCAGGAACCACTCCCAAATAGGCTACGAATGCAAAATTCCCAGTTTGGCTGATGTTAGTTTCTGCAACATCCAAGGAACCTGCAAAAATAACACCAGACGGTGCTGGGCCCTTCTCTTCAAACCATCTGAAACGTACGGAATTCTCTCCGTTTATATTTTCCATTTCCAACACCATTTCTTCAAGCTATTTGATCGTTTGGAGGCTCTAGCCTAAGAAGGATGCGTTGTAACCCACACGCCAAGGGATGAACGTGATGAGAAGAGGAAGTGCTCAGGAAGACTTGGTGGGAGGCATAAATTAGTGTGGTCAAGCTGCGCTCAAGTCGAAAAATAGGGCCCATGAGATTGTCGAACTGTTAGCCTACTCGTGATAGACCTACCGTTAAGCTAACCTTCACCTCTCAAAACTTCTTTCCAGCCTAGGGCCAGAAGACATCGATAGAAATGTAGAACTCAACCATCGAGTAATTTTTAAGCACTGATATTTTATGCATAGTATCTCATTGACTCCTTACGCCAAACGCCATATTGGACCGACGGTGCTCAGTGCTGCCATGAAGCGCAGTACACTGTGACGGCTACTACATCTTTAATTTCCTTTATTCCTTAAAACCGTCCGAAACAGGACCCATTCGATGCAATGAAATTGTGTCAACATTGAAAAACGATTGAAATTTTGAGACATGGTTGATGTTGAGAATTCAGCGAAGAATCGAAGGAATCCCGGCAACTCGTTAATTAACCGAATTTTCAGCGTATAGACTCAGAGGCTACTCATGGATTACTGAAGCCGTTTGGAGGCTACAGGTATTAAGTGCAAATTCGTTTTTCACATTTGGCTTCATCGTAGTCTCAATGGTGTTTCAACGTGGAGTTATCCACGTTACTCAACAGAAAATAGGTTGCACCAAGCGGAGCGAGATGGAGCCTAACCGCCAATTTAGCGATTCTCACCCTGGTGCCATTGGAATGAGTCTCCTGTTATTTTCATACAGTACCCGATATTTTCCCACGAACAACTTCAGGGAAAGTTTTGGCATTTCTAGATGGACCCATTGAAGGAGACTCCAGGTAGGGTGAAATACCCAGTGATGGGCCAGCCCCCAGTGATGGGCCACGGTGCAGAAAAATTCAAAGAACTAAGCATGCTAAGCTCGCACACGTATATCATGATAATATTTTCTTATAGGAGGGTTCTGGCAATCCATACATAGCCCCGGGCTCCGCCTCTAGCCGACGGGTGTGGAGAAAAAAAATATTTATTGGATCCCCCTCAGAAAGTCCACGTTTTCTTGAGCTTCGTGTTAAGACGAGTGCTTGTGCATAAACTGTGTTTCTAAGTGTACGTAGGGCTGCGAACGTCATTGAAGTGTTTTCGTCTCACATCTGTTGACGTGGTCTGGTGTTGGGATGTCAAATTTGATATTAATCANGCGCAATTACCTCGTGATTGGGGGCAATCACGGCTAATCAACGAAATTGGAAGGGGTTGCTCGGGCTTCAACCGTCCGCACGCCCTCTTCCAATGTTCGTCCTTGCTAGTTCTAAGTGTCCTTCCCAGCTCCAACAGGCAAGGAACGGAGTCTGGATCACACCAAATTCACCTAAGCCCAGCTCCAACCCAATTCACCCAAGCCCAGCACTTAGGCCCTCGGCTCCAACCGAGTAGAACTAGTAAGGTCTCAATTTAAGCAATGGGACTCTAGCCCGACACCTGATGGCAGTGGCGAAGTCAGGAACATTGACTCTCCCTCTCCTCCTCTAGAAGCATAAGTTGGAAAGATGTGGAGATCATAACATGAGATTTTCCCAGCGAACACATATCTACGAACAAAAATGGGTCCCAAGGCCCTAACAATTTTGTAACTTATGACAAACAAAAAAGACCATAAAAGTAACGTACGCTCCATTGTTTGACATTGGGGAGGTTCTGGTCGATTCGACCTGGTAAGGCTGACAGGGCGGACATCGATCCAAGAGACTCTTCGCCTTCCCATGAACAGTAATGGATCGTCCAGAGAGTTTTGCCGAAGGTGCCTTAAGTTTTGACTCCAGGTACGTTAGAAATTGATCGCAGGACGTTCTGTTTCGACTTTTGGGGAGCGGGAATCGAATCTCGACAACAGTTCGTACGGTTTTGGCATGGGTACGTTAAGTTTTGAAAGTCATGATTCATCGAGAAATCGCAGATACGTATATGAGGGCATCGTGCATTACCCTAGCCTGGCCTATTGGTTGCGAGAAGCTCACATAGTTTTTTCGATCCCGTACGTCCCAACACGGAGTCTCAATGGTGAAACTGAAGCGGATCATGAATATACTTGTAATATTAAGCTCGGAAAAAAAAGATAAACCCATGTCTGGACTCCAGAAGTCTACGTGACCCTACGAAAAGAAGTTTCTTCGATGTGAAACCTAAGAATTTTTACCTATCATTATAAATTGCGTCTATTGGGGCTTACAATTCGTTATAGTGGATTTCTTTTCATTTCCATACTCGAAGCAGTGACATACACGTGTATATTATATCCTCAATGTGAAACCTAATAATTTTTACCTATCATTATAAATTGCGTCTATTGGGGCTTACAATTCGTTATAGTGGATTTCTTTTCATTTCCATACTAGAAGCAGTGACATGCACGTGTATATTACATCCTCATGGTTCAGGAGAGTTGGAGTTTTCCCCTCAGTCACACATGATCGTCTTTTCATTTTCTTCCTGTATGATACATACGCGAGAAATCTATGATAAGAAGGAATACTAAAGGTACCGAACTATGCATTTCATCGCATGACGTTAATTTGAGTTTCAAAAATAAGAGAAACCGACTGAAGGGACTCTTTCTGCTTCTATTCCGGCCTCCTAAAGAGATATTGTAACCGGAATGCATGCTGAAATTAAGGAATCTTCAGAATTATTTTCACGGTCTCTTGTTGGCTTCCTTATCTCGTACGTTAAAATATTGAAGAGCGTACGTTGATTTTGATAAAGGAACGTACTTTTGACTGTCGGACCCATGGATGTGAGAAAAGAGCGCAGAGTTTTGCGGATCGTACGATTTTAACGATTTTAAGTTTTGAAAAATGTCCATCAAGATATGAAATAGGGCTCTAGCAATTGGGAAAAACTGTAAAAATTTCCAGAATTATTGATTGCCATTGAAACATGATACTTATACTTTTACCAAATACTATTTCACAAGTATCATGATGAATACAGAGCAATAAAGAAGACTCTTCTCCCAAGGCCCAGTGCATCTTGCCTTGAGTTCGAGTGTTCGAGGGAACATAAACGCCATCTTATGCCTATTTTGAGTACCGGATATTACGTCTGTAAGGTACCAAAGTGTACATCTGGACCACATCCGTATGAAGGTAGATACGGAGGTCCGAATGAGAACCGGGATACAAATAAGAGGACTGGTATGTACATCTCACATTTGTACTTCTCCTTGTACGTTTTTATTTCGGTGTGTATGTACCGATCTAATGGTGATGGTGAAAGAACTTGATCGCAGTCTATCCTACCAGTTAGGGCTACAAAACCGATTTGAACGAGCAAACTATTGATGATTTGTATCTCATTGTGGGCTGATGTACCGAGCTCCTAGTTCTAACATTACTAAAATGTAAATTCTCAGGTTTTGAAGAAATCTAGGATTGGCAAGCTAATGTGTTTGACAAAAAAGTGAAAGAAACTAGAAAGCTTAAAAGTTCTTCAATGCTAAACAATGAGGTGGGTTAGCATCTGTCTGGCACGGCACGAAACAGCATGGCACGCTAGCATCCTTTTT